CACTTCGGTATTCAGCACAAATTCGTACAGCACTCAAGTACTGCAGTTACTTACAAGCAGAAATACTAACACAGCTGAACTTTACTCAACGATGATTCATGATATTATACCTTGTTGTGCTATCATTCTTCTTCACAAAAGTGCAAGCAGGTCAATTACATTCAGACACACAGCTTAAACATTCATGCAACATCCTGTCATTGCAACACTTGAAGACAAGGTATTCCACTTTGCATCCATGGATCTCATTTTTCTCTCTGACTACATCCCCACAGATCAGGCACCGAGAATGTATTTTGCCCAGTCTCACTTCCTGGATTCCAGTCACTGTTTTGACTTATTTCATACTGGAATGTGGTCTATCCAGCCTTTCATCCTCTCAAAGCATGAAAAGCAATTCTTTCAAAACCGTATTAAAAAGCAAAGGGTACTTGCCACCTTACCCTTGCATAGCTACCTCTTCTCATAGTCAGATCACTGCATCACTGCCTCCAGAGAGAACATTGTTCTCTAGAGAGCCAAATGACCAAACGACAGAGACGGTCAGAGAAATGGTGTGAAGGGTAGTGGTAATATACAGGCTGGTCACGAGCTAAAAGGCCTTGAGATTAAGAGGAATCTCCTCATTGACTTAAAAACTTATTCCACTTGTTTGTATCAAGTGATCAGAAACATGACTGGCTAAGGATTCTTAATCTATTTTCAGATCTAACTACTTCCATTTAAAAATAAAAAAAAAACAATTTATCAACAGAGAAAAAAAACAAACTTGTACATCGATTTCTAGAAGTTTCCTAGAGTTTTTGTTTGTGTGGTGGCACGAGGAACAAGACTGGTGAACCGAGCCGTGTATCTCGCCACAAAGTGTTTGTGCCAAGGTAAGAAGGGGAATGCACACAGGTTGGCAGGCTACCTCCTTCTGTAACAGGGTGGCTCCAGTCCAAGTTAAGTGCACACGAACCTCCTGCCTTACGCCAGTGTCTCTTCCATCACATCTGCCACCCTATCTCATAATACACACTACGTGGGTTTTGCTACAGAGCAAAAGCCTTACCTGTGTTTTGTATCCTCCATGTTTTTGTAAACTGGGTATCAGGAGGGATGGACTCTCCTTCACCTATGGTGACATCTTCAACAAAGGACATGGAGGGTACGTTGATATTTGGACTCTCAAAATCATAGTAGGCTCCAATGGCGGCTTGTAGATTCCTAGAAAGCAAAAAAAGCAGATTACAACCTAAAGTACAGGTGGGTCAGGTCCTTTTCACAGGTTTACAAACGTCATCCTAAACAGTTAAGCAAAAATATTATCCAGACTATATTAGCTCTGCTGCTCACGTTTTTTTAAAGCTTTTACCTCCATCACACATAGATTTTCCAAGATAACAGAGCTCAAAATATAGCGTTTTACTTGTCGGGGATGCTATTTTAGACCACTTTTCTACTCTGCTGCTTATTTTCAGTGGAAATACTGGAACATATGAGTCTTGGAGACCTGTACCCCATTAACCCTTTATGAACTTTGCCGGAAAGTTCAAGAGATGCTGCGGGAAGCGCTACGCAGCAGCATGTAAACAACAGGGCAGTTTCTCTATACCAGCCTTGTTTCCTGAGCTAATTTCAGAAGGACTAAACCTCCCCACTTTATTTTGGCACAAAAGGTCCAAAAGGAGTACAAGATGAACAAAATACAAGGAACACTCCTAGGATAACTCTCAGGGCCAAAGGGCATCAGTAGCTACAGTTAGTAACTCAAGCCTTGCTGCTTTTGAAACATATGGTCATGTATGAGCCACCAACACGCTAAGACTATTTATTAATCATTAAAGTGCCTGCTCAGCTCCTGATAGTCACAACTCAAAGGAACTTACAAAGCATCTGAGTCACAAGTTCTTACTGAATAAAGCCAAACGACAGTGGAAGTCTGTGATATATTAAGGATGTTCAGAAAGCCACAAATGCTATTGATTCCCAAGTCGTGGTGTAGCTGAAACTCATATGATAATTAATTTGAAAAGAGGAGCAGCCAAACAGGAAGGGGATTCATGAGTCTTAGCTGCCGTTCCACGATATACTATTAAGTTATTATGTAAGTGTTTGGCAAGTCATGTAATTCCTCTGTTTACGCATGTCTGTGAGGTTGTGGCCATAATTTACATGTTGTGAGTAGGTGCTGTGAGAATGGAGACGAGTAAGATCTCACCAAATGCAATGGGCATAGATGCTTTTTATTCATGATTACAAAAATCTGTGTTGCTTTTTTGAGCAGGATAGAAAAAAACCCAAACCTTCAAGAACTGGGAGCCACCACCTAAAACAAAAGCCACGCAGAAGGCCAGTCAGAAGCTGCGTTACATGGGTGCAGTGATACATTGAGGGTTTGTATTGTGTGGTGGAGCGTCATGTGTCTAAACCAACGCCAGAAAGCCAAGGTGAAAGCAAGAGAAACATTTGCAGCATGACCCTGAGAAAGAGCAAACAGGGAATTTTTGGACTGCTTGCCAGCTGGAAAGACACTTGAAACAGTGAGCAAAGAAACTGCCTCCTGTTCAATTCCTACAGTGTTCAAGGGAGAAAAAAAGATAAAATCAGGCATTCGGTATAAAAATCAGAACTGGATGGGAGAAGTATCACTGCTTTCTCCTCACAGAAAACACAGAGGACCCAAAATGTAGTAGCTAATAGCACTGGAGCTTGGGTCAAAGGGGGTAAATAGCAGTATTAGGCAGATCTGCTAGCCACCCGCGATGGAGAGGACCTAAACAACAGATGTACCAGTTTGGTAATCCACCACGAATGACAGAAGATAATCACTGCAGGAGTTACTAACATCCTGCTGAGTCTCCCAGAGCACAGCCAATGTGTGAGGAGGCACTGGAGGAACGTTGGGCACAACACGGTCATGGTGATCGATTGGCAAACTCAGCAAACTGAGGCTTTCGCCATCAACATGGAAAGGACTTTGATACGAAGGGGAGACAAAAGAGCCACCGTGTAGGAATTCCACATTTAGAACAATGAATTTCAGACCAGAAGCCATTATTCAGCTCGAGGCATTTTCTACTTAGGAGTGTCGGGGCTATATTTAATACAGCTAGCTCAGTCGAAGGCTACAGGAAGGGTGCATGTCACATTAGCCAATAAATAGAGACAAATGCTCAGTTTTACGTCACCAACCGCCTGTTGCTTATACACTGCACAAGATTTACATAACTCAGAACAGGGCTGTGCCAAGAGACTCCTGTTCGCTCAACCAGCTAACACTGTGATCTAGAGTTTAGTTTTCACTAGGATTTCTTCCTGTATTGCAGCAGTCCAAGGCAAAAAGGCATTCTAAGAGCTACAAAAGACAGCAAGACGGCTCTTTCTCTTCCTCAGCCACTACTACATAACTACGTTTTCAGACGTACCACAACATCTTGTGAGTTATGATTCTGGAATCAGTAGTAATGACGTTTTATTGACATTGAGAGGAAAAAAAAATAAAAGTTCCAAGGGGCAGATTTCTACTGTAATTCTTTGTAAGGCAGCCTGCACTGTTTTTTGTTTGCTTGGCTGTAAATGCGCTTCAAAAGGTAGTGGGCTATTTGTGCACATAGGCCCTCTGCCAACTCTCTTCCCCTCCCTGTGTCATATTTCATTGCTTGCTTTGCCATTGGGAAACAACTCCAGTCCTCTGCAGCATTTAGTTAAAAACTAACTAAAGAAGAACACGCGCTGCAAAACAGATTTGCCACCCTTTTGTGATCAGAAAAATCACAAACCAACCTTCCTGCTCCCACCGTTTTGACCAACATGCAGAGGGCTTTGTTTGGGCTGAGCCCTTTTGCGTGTGCAGATACATCTTGGCCTTCCCACTAGAGAATTAAAAAGAAGCTTCCAGAAACTAAAGAGAAATTGAAAGTGGCAAGAGCCAAAGTCAGGATGACAAAGCAAATCTGACTGAAGTTCAAGTTCTTTGACACAGACAACACTAAGAGATAGCCACTGAGAGGCCGTATGGCACCACTCTGCTGCAAGAGATACCCACAGCACTCACATTTTAGTCATGTTCTCTGCTGACACAATCAGCAACGGACCACTGCTAGCTTCGTTTCCACTCTTGCCAAGAGCCAGTGCTCCCCCTCCTTCCCTACCCCCAAAAAACCCAACTACCAGTTCAAATGCAGTACTTTGCTTGGGGAAAATGAGTGCCATTTGCAGAGGCAAACTATTTGGAACCCGGTTATTTGCAGGTTGTAGAGACTAAGTAGTACACCCTGCTGCTCTGCCTTTCTGCTATAGGCACAACATTAGTGGACTTCACAAGCAAATGCAAGCATTTATAAGAGAGATGGCTTCAAGGTCAAACACACTCAAGGTCCTAAAATTTGTGTGTTTATATATATATATTTTTTTTATATACACACACAGGGGTTTTGTTGGTATTTACCCTTGTGCCCCCGTTGTGATTGCACAGCACCAACTGCAGATACTTCAGGGACAGAAAGAGTTAGACCTCCGAGAGGAAGGGGCTGTCATCTAAAGGCTCCTGCTTACACATCCATGCCTGCTTTATTTTCTTCCCCCTAGGTGTGACTTGCACCACACAACCCCTTTTCTCTCTGCCATATGAGATAAGTTACTATTATAAACCAAACAACTTTGAAATGAAGATGAGTGTGCCAAATCCAGCCAGTGTAATTTACATGACTGATCCCGCCTAATTACAGGGGTGGCCATACAAATCTTTCTTAACATAGCCCTTCAGGTGTCAGGCTCTCCTTACCTTTCCTAAATTAAGCAATTTTTCCATTTTTAGAGCAGTCCTGGACTGCAACAGTTAGTAGTTCTGCCGTACTTACAGAGCAGGTCTGACAGGATTTAGCCCCAAACTCCTGAAAAAGCCTGCAACCAGAAGTTACCCCAGCCAGCGGGTGAGCCTACTTAAAATCAAAACGGTGTCAATTTTAGTCTTAAGAGCAAGACTCTGGAAAGAGAGGGGGGAGAAAGCAGCAAATAAAAGTTATAGTTCCATATTATCAACCAAATCTGTTCTAAATACGGGTATCCCACTCCTTCCTCTCCAAGGGCATCCCATGACTCCTACGTGTCAAGTGCTTTTCCGACAAAATACTACCCGCAGAACTAGAGAAAGTGTTCCTTTTCAAATCAATTCTTTTGCTCTGCTGCTTTGTTTCAAGCCTCAGGAGCTAAATTACAATAGTAAAGTTAAAACCTTCTCAGCTAATAGCTCTGGAGATGTCCCTTAACAACTCTTAAGTGTTTGCAAAGAGATGGTTTATCTTGAGCCATTCTTTCCCTTCCCAGTTTTTTTCCAGACAGCCTTTTGTTATGTTAAACCAATATATTTAGACAGTAATTACTCCCAATTAACTAGGTCACCAAGCAGTACGCAAAAGTAAAAGAAACTCTTCCAAATCAATTCACAAACTAGAGGCCTCCTTATACAACCTAACTGTTGTGCAAACAAAAAGCAATATATGGGTAATTGGGAAAAAAAAAATTACATTAATTGAATCAGATTCTTTTTTAGGAGAATGAAGAAAGCAAAGCACTGAGGCTTACTCACTGCAGCCTTATGCAAAGCAGGGCATATGCACAATACCTAATCCTTCTGTTACCAACAAAACATACAATTCTTCCAACATATAAAAGTTAGGCATCTTGGAAGGAAAGCAATGCAAACAGGTCATCCTAACATACGAGTCAAGGGACATTAGAGTCCTGGCAAACAGATATTCTCAACACAGGTAGAGGGAAAGCAAATTGGAGGAATCGTCTACCATCCAGCAGCTGTAACCCTCCCACACACCTCTCCCACCAGCCATCACGCACGGCTGACACAAGGAATGGTATTTTGGTTTTGCTTTCAATCCAGCAGCTTAAAGATCTGAAGTCTAAAAAACCCTTTACGATGTGCAGGTTGTCTAATGTATGCGGTGACACATAAGAATTCCACTCCAAAATAACATTTACAGTAGAAAGCAACCACTTTAAAATTTTAACTGTTATAGAAATCTGTAAGTTTTCATTTATTGTCAAATTCTTTGATGAAAGATCCAAAGATTTTTTTTTTTTTAAAGAAAGATTTAAGGGGTAAAAATCCAAGTCAAATCAAAGCTTAAGCTCAAAATCCAGCATGCAAATTTTGCTCTAACTCCTGCCCATTCCTACAGCCACATCAGCTATCACCACCTAAGGGGTCAAAGTTTCCAGTGCTCTGATTCTCCTGAGCTGACAGAAAAAGCAGAGGCTAGACTTCTCCGTGCAATACCAAGTTAGCCTTCACTTTAGAATTTCACACAGGATGTAGTCCTTAGATCATACGCAGACACTAAGTAGAGGACATTTATTAAGGCAAGTAGAAAGCACTTTGACAAATGGACTCAGTCACTTCGTTGTGCAGCGCAACTGTAATAAAGTGAATGCCAAGTTATATTTCTCTCCCTCTGTGGAGGTAGAGAAAAGCCAGGCAAGCGCCCAAGCTCTAATGTATGTTCATTGTGTGTCCTCAGCACTCACATATGGAGCAATATTTTGTCATGAGAAAAGCAACTCAGGTGTTATTCTCCTGGAAACATGCAGTGCAAAAACTGAGCAGCTATGCAGAGTACAATAAAATCTCAAGAACATAATATGTTACGCAGAACGCCTTGTACTCTTTCTGTAACTGAGTTCTCAACCTTTACAGACCTTTCTCTCATTCTCCAAATGCAGTATGTAACCAGGCACCATAATGCCCCATAAGGTGTGTATTGTTAAAAACAGAAAGAAATGAACAAAAGAAACAGTGCAGCAGATGGATAATTTCTCACTCCTAAATAATGGAACATCTCTACATGATACAGGTGGGAGAGACTAAAAATGTATGTGGAGGACATCCAAATGAGACAATCCTAAATCCACTCTTTTTGTCTCATAGTCTCAAGTATCTTATTTGGATTTTAGCTGCCCCAGCTACTGGAGAACTGGATTGATAATGCTATGGGCTAGGACATCTCCAACAGCTATCCTACCGCTCCTGATGTAGAAGACGCTTTACTCAAAGCCTTATAAAAAGCTGAAGGGGGGGGGGGAAGAGATGCACTCATTACACCACAGGGAAGCACTTTTACCTAGAGTTTTCAATTCAAACATTTTCAATAGAGATGACATGTGGCAATTAAGTGGAAAGTCTCAAGATGTTTTGAAGGACTGGAATTTTAATCAGTGAACAGCTTTCAACAGACATCATTTCAGAAAGCAAGATTTGTGTATCAGTTATCTTCATTCTTGACCTCTCTTACACTAAACCATGAGGTTGGGAAACTACCTTCAATGATCCAAAAGGACCACCGAGGGAAGTTGAAAGTTTTAATCTGAGTTTACAAAAAAAAATGTATTTTCTCATATGAAGCCACAGAAAAACATTTCATTGTCTTAGCTGAAAACAGCCAGTTCCAAATACAAGTGGGATGTTCCAGGAAGAAGACAGAAACCTGCGGTGACTAGAAGCAAGACTGTGTTCTCAGCAGGGGCAGCACAAGGAGAGAAACTGAGAGGCCACAGAAGAGGCACACCATGTTCAGTGCACCCCAAACCACCAAAGGAAATCACTTTCCTTTAGCAGTCTTCTATACACACACACACACTCCCCCCGGCAGTTTAACCATGATCGTGGTGCCTGCACTCGGCTGAGCACTGTACCTTGCCAAAGAGCAGCAAGCTGTCTCAGGGACAGAATCAATACTGCGATGCTGCTATAACCACAAGGCCACACAGCCACCCCCAGCAGCTGAGCCCTCCCAAAGCAGGTGGTCAGGAGCTTTAAGTGTGGGGTAAAATATTTTGAGAATGTCACAGCAGGAGCTGCTCTCTACTTGCTGCCACTGAAAACAGGGAACAGCTCTTCCCAGTGGAAAGTAATCAAGAGCTGCCAGTACGCGAAAGATTCTGTAACTGCTAATTCCTCAGTATAAACTATGTCACCAATCTATAATTGTCTGCATTAAAGTAAAGGGGGATTAAACTACAGAAACTGCCTGAGAACAAGTTCAGGCATGTAAGGCAGTCCAGCTGGACTAAAATTATATTGTACCCAATTCCTTCTGCTACAGTTGTCTGCTTACATTTCTATTTCACATGCAACCAATTTTTAAATGTTTTTTTAACTTGGAGCACAGCACAATTAGTTAAAAATATAATGTAAGTCTAGATTTCATTCAAAATAATCAGGTCAAGTATTTGAGTCATTTGGAGGTGTTTGTTTTTTGAATGCACTAAATAAAAACTGTCCAAGAAAATATTTTTCAATTGTTTAATTCCCCAATTTTGTTATTTCTCATAGCATAAGAGGACAGTTGCGGACACCAGAGATGCAACAGTCTACAATAGTTCATATGTACTAATACAACACCCACTATGCTTTGTTAGCCACAACAGATCAAACAGTTTAAAAACTATTTTCTGCTCCCCAGCCATAGGGTACGAGCGACGCCATGTACGCACCGCTTAGCAGCAGCCACAGCACAGACACTGCCAGTCTGCTCCGGCATTTCAGAAGGAGTACATCAAGAACTACTAAACCTGTTCCTATGGTGTCTCCTCTGCCTGCAAAGACAGCAGTTCATCAAATGCTTTAGAGTAAGAATGACATCAAGTTTAAATCCTCATCTTCCCTCTCCCCTACTACTTAACTTTATCAAAACCCAACTGATGTTTTAAACGAAAGGCTTCACACCCTTCTCACCAGATTCAGTTCAACTGGTCACCACCTACAAATACTAATCTGACTAAAGTCACATTAAGACCTAGGCCACTTAAAACACTTCCTATGTACCGAGACACAAAGAACACAAGACTGTTTTGTTTTCACCACCTGATATAGGAAGAAGAGAAGCAAAGTAATATGACTTCCCACCCGCCACTATCACTTTCCTAGCAGATGCCTGGATGAGTATTGAACCAACCCAGGAGGAGGGAAGGAGGAGGACTGACTCCAAAGATCAGGTCTCAGGTTTCCAGCCTCCTCCATGACACGAGGATTCCCCCCGCTGCCCTTTCAAAAGGAAAGGAGCATCACAACTAAGCTTGAGATTTACACAGAGCAGTGGGGAAGTCTTCCTCAGATTTATCTGAACGCAGATTAGCATAAGGGAAGTCACAGGAGTCCCGCCGACTGAAACAAAGAGCAAACAAAACACGGACAGCAGGGACCTGAACTCTTCTAAGGTAAAGCACATACACCACAACTCCCCACTCGCGATGGCGTAATAATCTTTGTGGCGAATCCAACAATGCCAGTGTGAAAGAGAAAATCCTAACGTTTGTTGTTTTATCCTACCTTCCCTTTGACTCCTCACATGGCAGAGAAAAAGAGGAAACTCAGTAAATGTAGCAAGACAGAACATCTATTGAAAAATCAGATGGAGTTCTCTGATAGCAGTTGATTAGTTCGCAGGACATCAACAAAAACATTGCCTTCAAACAGCTGCATAAACCAAATTAATTTGTTCACACTTCAGTCAGGATATCCAGATAAAAACTAGAGAAGAGATCTTGATATAAGACTATATAAGGATAGACTTTTTCCCCACAACAAATGTACAAAAATACAAATCTAACATCATATTAGGTCTATAATGAGAAGTATTTGATCAGTAGCAGGAGAGATGCATAGTTGCATCTAAAGAATGATATAAAACTAGTGTTTTGATTTAAGAGCTCATTTAAGTTCTTGGGGGTTTGCTGGTGTTTAAGGGTTGGAATAAAAATGCAGCTATTTTAACGGCAGCAGTTAGTTGTAGTGATCCCCTCTACAATCATGTAGAGCTATACTGTAATCGATAAAAATGGCTTTTGATATGACCACACAATCAAAGATTTCATGGTACAGCTAAGGCCCCGCATTCCACCTCAATATTCATATCCTGACAGGTAATTCCTAAAAACTTTACGGCTGCACAGTCTGACTTCGCATGTCCTTATATTTGCTTTTTCCATAGATCTTTGAAACATAACAGACAATTATTTGAAGAATGGAAAAATAGCATACCATAGGATGACTTGTACCAGCAAACCTTTACATACAGCAAGCGCAGGACAGCCGAGGACGTTGGGATGAAGAGCCTGTCTGCACACCGGTACTTATCCTTTGGCCAACATACAGTAACCTGTCTCTGAGCTGAGAAGGAGCATTTCAAACCCAAGTTTTTCCTGACACACACTTGGAGAGCTTCTTTTGAAAAGCAATCAAAAAAAAAATCTGTTAACAGAAGATGCCTGCATACCTTTCTTTTTTTTTTTTAAAAAAAATGGCAGTTCGGCAAACACTTGCAAGGTTAAAAATCAGGACCAGGAGTATTAGTGTTACCCACTGTGGGAAACACATCACGTGTGCGTGAATCCTGTTGGTTTGAGCCTGTTATGTTAAATTCTGTATGTGCTGCTGTCTTACCTACATATACTTTGAGTATTTCTCTGAATAGCACCTATACTCCAGCATTAATATCAAGTGTAAATAGATATGCTTTCATCCACAGTTGAAATCTCAGTTTTACTTTAAGTAGCATCCTATCATCTTTGCCAGAAAGCAAAAACTAAGCACTTAAAGTCAGAGTAAAGCAATAAAAAAAAACCAACCCCAAACTATTAGCTAAAATGTGTCTTTAGACTCCAAATCGAGTACATCCACTTCTGGGCAATATAGGTGGTTCACTTGATATAGAGAATTTAAACATCTCACCCACAGGGATAAACACGTGCATATATAAGGCAATTTTAATTTCACTAAAAGGCAATATTTTGTCTGTTCTCAGAGACCAATAGAACACTTGCACAAAAATATTTGATAAATTTTCCTTGCTATGCTCAAAAATTTCATATTTCTGATGTAAAAAATTGCTATCACCACTACCTAATCCCTACCTCACCCTGACTCCCCTCACTCCCACATAAAGAAATGCCCTACATCTTACACAGTATAGAAGGAGGTTTTACAGCAAATTTCTGTAGTATTTTCAGAGATAAACTTATAATTATTTTCATGCAAAATGTCATCTTTAGAGTACTAAAACTACAATACAGCTACAAATTCTTCTAAGCATATGAAAAAAAAAATTGAGGACCTCCAGGAGAGATCTGACTACCTTACAAAAAATGACCTTAAAAAGACCTTTATCACCAGAAAGCTAGATCAAAAAAGTCTAGGGTTTGCAACAATAAAACTTTTTTCCCCATACACAATGGAAACCATCAGTATCTGACACATTTCAATTAAATATCACACCTACTAGACTAATAAAAATTCAGCCTTCTAAACAAAAGCTAAAAAGAGAATGTAAAGAAATATTACATGTAAATTACTGAAATATACATACATAAAAATAAGCCTTCCAAATTAAGAATCCCTTCACAGTTGACTGTGTTGAAATCTGGATTTTAATCCAGCACCACTAGCTACTTCAAATCAAATTAATTCACTTTCCCACAGAATTAACGAAGCTCCAAGCCTTACGCTGCAGCTTCTCACCCTCAAAGTCGGTATACTCTCCAATTAAAAAAAAAATAATTCCTCTTCCTTGTCACAATACAATTTCCACAACAACTTTCCAGGACTCTTAATGACTTTTATGAAATGCCTTAACTGAGTGTTAACAAAAAATAAAATGCACATTATGTGCAAAGTTCCCTCCGTTCTTACACGTACACTAATCCATATCGCTGAACACCAGTCAGGGCTAGGCTGACACTTAAGAACTTCTGTTTTGCCAGTCTTTTCAGGAAGTCCAGTCTGCCCTGGTACCAACTACCCAGAGACCTACAACCATTCTTGTGTTGGGGAGACAGCGAGTAGGTATTTCGGTGCAGACTCTTTCAGCATCGGCTGTCTGACCTAAACAACCCCTGTTTTTAAAACATTAGCACAAAGGGTTTTCAAAAGGAGTTTCTTACGTAGGTAGACGTAGACATACTGAGTCTAGACAAGTTCAGACACGTTTCGGGCCATACTATCACATAACACTGAAGAGCTGTAGACACCTGGAACTTAACTTCACCACAAAAATCACTCCTTGCAGCCCCCTCCCTCCAACCTGCGGGGCTGGATGTGCTTCAGTCCGCGGGCAGCCCGGCTTCTGCATTGCATAACATCTGGAGGGGGGAAGGGAGCAGGGGAGTTAAGCATGCCATTTAATGGAGGGTGGATTTTCATCCTAGATGCAATGGCAGCAAAATGCCCTCCCAAACTACACCGCCTGGGTTTTCCTCCCGAGGAAGAAAGGGTTTCGGTGCCAAAACATCTTTTGGAGAAGTTCACTTTTGGTTGTAGGCCAAAAGCAAAAGCTCAACCTCTCGCTCTAAAGCCTCATGACTTCTAATGAAAAACAAATAAATAAATAGTAAAGAGGGACAATGTGTGCTGCCTTTAAAGCATGTACAGCTAGGACTCTGAGAAAGGGCAAAGATGGATTTTATGTAGAAGAAAGCTGCATAAAGTTAGAACAGCCCACAAACAGAACTCAACCCGTAATTAAGAAGAGGCAGAACTCTAGGAAAGTGTTTAATAAATACCAGGGAAAAAGACAACTCACCAGAGTGTTTAACCTGTATTTCTTGAAGATCAAGGAACAGTCTCAGAAACTTGGGATGCATATGTTCTACCTGAAGCATTTTTGCAATATTGTTAATAAATCCAGCTGGCAGTTTCTTCGTACTGCCCCAAGTCTGCCAGAACTTCGAAAGCACATTGAGCAATGCCAGCTAAACTGGAGAAGGAGACAGACTTTTAAAGGCTACTTACAAGTATCCATATAGCTCCACAATCAACCACTGATTTTTTCCCCAAAATTGGCTAAACAAGCTAGTTTAAAATAATTCCTCTATGCCAGCAGAACTGCAAATTCACTACAAATATGTTAAATACAATTACTAATGATACTACTGGAAATATTCCTTCAAAACACATCACAGCTGAGATTATTTACTACACAATAGGTGAAAGGCAAACAACAGGGAAGTAACTTCATGTCTGGAGACTACATAATTATCACCAAAGAGCAGCTTGCTACACTTGTGAAAAAAGTTCTAGTGACAGTTATTTACGTCTTTGTTAATTAACCCTTCATTGACATTGCTAAAAAAAACCCAGCCTACCAAGTAAGTGCACTTCTCTCCCCTCTGCTGAGAGCTCCCTCACCTTTTCCTGCAGATGAACAGGAAAAGAGGGGAAAAAAGGAAAAGATGCAGAAAGAGAGTGAAGGGATGAGCACTGCAGAAGAGTGCCATACCTTTAACAAAAGGAAAAGTGGCTTGGCAGTCTCGTTGAGACAAATTATTTGCAGGACAGACTGGTGATAGAAGATTCTGACCCTAATTCTAGGCCACAAAAAACAAACCTACTAGGCCACTGCCTAACATCACCTGAGGCAGCGTGGATTACACAGGGGCCCTCAATGTGACAAAGGAAAGGTCTTTCCAGCAAAGGAAAATGTGTCTTGATTGCAGCTTTTTATAATGACCAAGAGGAGGGTGAGTATATTCAGGCTGATAACCCAAAGGCCGTATGAAGAAGAGGTGGGAGCTGGAGAGGGGGACAGAAACACAGCAGCAGAACTGTAAACTGCACAAAAACAGGCACAACAAATGATGTCACAGGTCAGGAAAGCAACGCCCTGGCAAGAACACACGAGAAAAACGAGCAGCACCTGTCAGCATACCCAACTCAACTCCCTGCTGTTGAAAGGTTAAACTCTCACAGGCTTTAAGCCCAGTCTAAGAGTAACCACACTACAGCCTGTCCTAATTGTCATATACTCCTCTACACATTACACCAAGTTAACAGATTTCCTTTTACACACCCTCATCCCTCTACAAGACTTATCAACCAATATTCCAACAAAAATGTGAAAACTTATGTTTTCTGAACCAAAGTAGCCACTGAAGTTGTGAAATTAAAGCTATTTTCTTCAACTGTAATTAAAAGATTTTTTAAAAAAGTCATTGGTTATAAGATTGTATTTGAGATACTGCTAATTCAAAAAGAAATTAAATACCCCTAAAAAAAAAAAAGAGCTTCTTCAACACAAACCAGGAATACTGTGGCTATACATAGTATCTTCACCAGTAACTTCCAGGTTCAGCTGTGCTAAACTTTCTGCACTCCCAAGGAATATCCCAGAAAAAAACCAAACAGTATTATGCTGCAGTGTCTGTACTTTTATTCATATTATCAACACATGAATAAAGTGGAAAAGCATCTGCATCTTCTGCTGTGAAGGACTTCTCCAAAGCAAACTCCTGAACTCCTTGAGAGAGAGCTTCTTTCACATTGTATCAGCTTACAAAGCACATGGTATTATTTGCTATTCCCTTACTCCCTCTGCAGATGCAGATTTGCCAATATAATTCAATATAGAGCTGTAGAAGGAGGGAAAGATGAAAGGAAAAGGTGACAAAGTTGTCTTATTACTGTTTATTAGTTCCACAATTCCATGCAAGTTTTTTCCCCAACTGTTGATATCAAGACTTTTGCTTGGATTTCAAGTTTCAAACTTGAGGTTTCTGGATGTGTTGTTAAACCATTAAGAAAAAAACCCAACTAGCTACAACTTAATTAAGTAATTTCTGTTAACAATATCTGAACCAGAAAACACTTTGCTCTCCTGCATTCATCACAGTGAAGAGATGCAAACCTGTCCAAGAGGGTCACATTTTGGTTAGTGCCCTACACAACAGCAAAGCTGTTAGAGACGGTTTAAAAGATGCAAGCGGTAATAATGAGTCCAACCCCAAAACTCAGACAGCAGCAATTTCACAACATTCTTTCTCAGTCACTGGGCCCACTGCACCATTTAACACTCCTAGTTTCTGGTTTTCAGCGTTATATTGCGTATTTTCCACATTTTTCCCAAACTGCAGCTTCCTTGATAACCTGTACCTGCTTTTTTTCCTAGGGCAGCGACACAGAGCCTTTATAAAGCCAAAAAATACACTGAAAGCCAGAGTATTTAGAGAGACACTCCTAGTTTGCAAGCAGATACTAAGTTTTTACCAAACACCTAGGCAACTTTCACACGGAGACCGTGGAAGCTTTAACACTTCCACACAGCCTTTCTACCGGTTTTCCCTCCTTCTGAAGCCCGCTTTAGGGTCCAGGGCACCATAATCCACCCCTGAATTCAGCTCATCCTCCCCTTCCGCAGAGAAAGAAGCGCCCTTTCAAGATCTTCTGGGCCCCGCTGGGTCACATGCCCCCTCCTCCTATCAATTAGTCACTCTTTAACAGCTTTGCAGCCCTTTGACCGACGAGCTCCACGACCTGGCAAAAATCACAACCCCGAGCTGGGGATGGGAGGCGAACCCCAGGCCCGCCTCAGCCCCGTCCTGCCCCTCTCCTCCTCCGCGCTGCCATGATAGCTCCCTCCCCGCCACACACCCCCCACCGGCAGTTGGCCCCCC